AATGGTTTATTATATTGGAGATTACCAACTCCAAGTGAACGTTGGGTTTTTTAACCAAGCAATTAAAACCACATAAAACACTTGCACGTTAAGAACAAAATTTGATCCCAACTAAGCAATTAACTCACGCAATAAAGATTGGAATCAAAACATTCACCAACTATTGTAAACCAAATACATTTAACTTATTTAAATGATAAAATAAATTGAAATATTAAGTAACGGTAATAACTCAATTAAAACCAAAGAGGAGATATCAAAACCGACAAAGCTAACAATTAATATAAAAGTATCAGGTCATAGATTTTATAAATATAGAAAATAATTGCTGTTTTAAAGAAGTAATCAAACCACTCAAAAATCTGGAAATATAAGTTCAACATAAAATAATTAATAAAATATTTTTGTATTTTGAAATACTTACAAAAATTCCAACAATCCCCCACATATTTCAAAATACAAAAGATCTCAAGGGAAAGTGAAAATTCAACGCATCTGGTGTCTTTTGGACTATGAACCAGCCTTAGGGTGATTTAGCCGTATCTCACAGAAATTTGGTGAAAATAAAATTTTCTATGAACCAAGATTTCTTTGTGTGAAACAGAGGACTGACCACCCACATTAAATTCTCTGATTCAAGTTTGTTCAAGCGGGTTGGCGCGAATAGGCCATGCGCCCACCTGGATATTCATGAGTGCTCTAGAGAGCATGTCTAAACTCTCATAGGAAGCGGCCCCACTTCCACACTCATATAGGTGAATCCATCAAGAGTGCACTGCAATCAAGCACCCCACCTATAAGGGCTATGGTATTCATTAAGAACATAAGTTCAACCTTAAGCGTTGCAGTATTGCACTATTGCTGATTTGACTGGCTGGGATAGGAAGACAAGGAAGTCAAGGACCTCCATTCCTAGTTCAAGAAGTTGTTTCACATGAAAGTTGTCTTGAGGTGAATGCCTGCCTGGTCTAGCACTGGTCGTTGTTGAAATGGCTGTAGAAGCACACCTTTATCTCATGTTATTGCCATATACAATGGTTTCTTTAGGTTGCATCATGCTATATAGTGATATTTGTGAAGCAGATGTATGCCTCATTGTACATTCTATCCGTTTTGTAAACTTTCTAATTATAATATGAAGCTGCGTTTCTCTTTCTTATTTCCTCTTCAGTGTAAAAAACTAGAGCAACTCATAAAAATGTTGATATGAACTAAAGCATCGCTAGTAGTAGAATGGCAATCGGACAAAATCTATGTTGGCTTTAGAAGGTAATGGCAGTTTTTAGTTGAGTTTGGGAATTTGAGCTACTCATATCATATATATGTGAATGTCAATTATTATTGTCTGTAGTAAAAACAATGATATTTTTGGAAAGAATGAGTAATTTTTTTGCGCAGCTCAAATGTCTAAATTTGATTTTCCATTCCCATGCATTCAAGAGTAATGTACACTTGATTTGCGCAGCCCGAATGTCTAAATTTCACTTCCAAAAGTGTACTAATTGGTGTTCGATTGAAACAGAAATTGTCTGATCATACTGAATCAGGGACTAATGCTGACACTCTCTTTCCTTGCAGACTTACCTCAAACAACTTGTTATGTGAAATTTAGGCATTCGCACCACATCAATGTTGGTCAATGAAGAGGAAAAAAATCAAATATTTAGTCATTGATTGATTCTCAATTTCAAAAGCAAATGAGAAGTAAGAGCAACACATTCGCACAATCTATATGCTCAAACCTATACGGCTCTATCAGAACCACCAACTCACAGATTTTCGAATGTCAGCCTGGAATGTCATGTCAGTGGGTGGATATGAACAAGCTATCAAGAATTAATTGGAAAGAGCTTGTGTCATTGGCTGTTCCTTGTCTTTATTGTGCGCTGAATTCATCAAGGTTATTGGCACTCATTGCAAGAACTTGAAGTTATGTTCCCTTTTGACATAGATTTTGCAAGGGCCATGCCGCCTATACATCAAAACTTAAGGTCTTTTAAGTCTTCAAAGCATAATAGTGCACAAGGAAGCTTTGGTGTTTATATTGGACAAAATGTAACATCTAGAAGTGCTGAATATATCTCACTGCCTCCTTAAAGAGGACTCCGAATCTCCAGGCTCCATTGTCGAACATAAACATCTCGACAAGTCAATCCTTGACCTCACGGCTCAATACGTTTCTTTTTTGGTCAGAGAGAGTCCTGCATAATGTAAGGGGCACCATTGCATGGTTGAACTTTGTGAGTGTCATAATGTCTGAACTATAAATGTGGACATGCTGTAAATAAAGTTTGCTTTTGTAGACTATTTCCTTTTCATGCTGCAGATAGCTTGTGTTAAGCCTGAATACGTCTATAAAGGTCTTTTTTTTCTCTGATGAACAAAGCAACCTTAGACATTTTCTGAGCTCCAGAACTTCTGGACTAGAAGGATCATCAATTGTAACCTTAGCTGTCCAAAAATTATACTAGAGTCTAATGTGATTTACATACTTCTCCGAAGGTGAATACCGTATTCTACAACAGTCATTTTGATTGTGCCTGGCTAGTACGCAATAGATTGCAAATTCAAGCCATCACTCAATTTGATAATGTTCCTTGATAAGGACATTAATCGTGAATTTTTCCATACAAGTTCAACATCACTGACGTCAGAAGAATCCCCATTTTTCTGTCACAAGTATTGAAATAATTTATCTGCCGTGCATTTCTTTAATCAAAGACAAGGCGGCCAATGGCCATCATCACTTACAAATGTTTGCAGGCAAGAAAAATGGGAAGCAAATATTGTTTTCTTTTATTATAAAGGAAGTCAAATTAGGCAGCTGCTGTTTTAATGCTCAAAGGGCCAAAAACATTACTGAGATGTTCTTCTTACAGCCGAATCAAGCTCTCAATTCAGTTTTAAAACAACATGGAGAGGCTTTGAACAAAATGCTTATGGTCAAATAAAGCTCAAACTAAGAAAAATAAATAAAAGCGCAAGGGGCTTCTAGCTCAATTGGGTAAAAACTTAAGAGCATTTACTTTTGCATTCAAGGTCTGAGGTTTGATTGTCCCCTCCCCAATATCCTTTGTATAAAAAACGAAACAAAACAAAGGCATACCAAAACTTGTATTAGGTGAGAGGTCATGGGTAGGTATGTGTGTGTCTCTCACAACCCTAGCAATAGAGGCTGTAGAGCATGTGTACAAGGCTTTAGAGCCTGTCCTAATCAAAATATCAAATCTAATTATTCAGGCCCCATAATAGGGAGAAGAATTTGCATGCCACGGGAATAGCACTATTTTGCTATCTCCATCTAATTACATTATGTTATGTGAAATTCTTGTTACGAGTGACGGAACGTGATTGGTTGGGGATAGCCGTGACATGCAAGTTTTTAAGGATCCAAAAGAAGCTATTAAAGAATGTTGTTGCAAAACTAACCTTTCAGGCTGCTGTGAAGCTACTACTAGACCATAGTCTAGGCTTCTAGCCTATCATATATGGATGCCAAAACGAATGACAGAAGACCATATACTCTTTGCGCCCTAGTCTTGCATCCAATCAGATGATTGATCTCCTATATTTCGTAGACTTAATCTCTAGAATTGATTTATTGATTTATAAATCTAATAGAAAAAGCTCCACTTTGCCATCACGATTTTCGTTTAAGATGCCATGTTTGAAAAAAATTTCTTTTAATAAATCATTGTTGGATGCTTAACATCTAATATCGCAATAATATAGTAGATTTGAGAATTCATTGTATGTGCCGGTTGTATATAACTTTTCTCTCTTAACGTGTTTTAGATTCCACATACATATCATAAAAGGAGACTATATAAACATTCTCTCACCGTCACCAGCGTTATTAATATGGCACTTATCTGAACTTAAATAATCATCTTGACTCGAATTGCAAACAACGACAAGAGCATTATTTCTCAGGGTCGGTGCAAGCTGATGACGTTTCAAAGAAAACTATAAAAGCTAGAAGACAACATTGTCTTTGAATGGATTCACTTCAACTCAGACACGCCACACTTTGAAAACTTCAAAACCTCATCAGTTTTCGTGTCCACCAAAACTATTATCATGACGGTCAATTAAGTCCGCATTTAAACGTAAGTAACTGTCAACTGTTGATATATATATACGATTGACATTATACCTACTATTTTTCTTTTTCTTGTATTTTTTACCTAACCTAATTATAATTCATTTTCTCATTCATCCTTGCCACTTGCCGGGTTACAACAAACCTGTTTTGTTCTAAATTCTCTTCGCATTAATCAACTTGTCATGAATTTTTCCTTTTTGATGGGCCCAATTATTTATCATTGGAAGATTGGAAGAATGATGAAGGATCAATGGGAGCCCACATTTGGGTGGTTGTGTTTGTGTGTATATATGGTACAACTTGTTATAAATAATCCTGCTGGAAGATACTTAATTAGTCATCTAATGACCATCCTTTGATATCCAATTAGAATGAAATCAATAGCTTAGAAGCCAAAACACGTGATGGTGATGCAGCAAGCAAACCCTAAGAACACAGACCGTGGATGCCACGTGTCAGTGGGATCTTGCACCAAGTGTCTCTAACTGTACCTCAAGTCTTCACCGATAATTACAGCACAAATAAAACTATGAACCAAAAATCAGCATAGAAAGAAACAATTAATGTTCAAGTCAACTCCCCACAGCCCATCACAAACCGTTTTTCACATTAACACTTCATTGGGTACTAAAAGACCAGATTAGCCTTCAAATGTAAAGAATTAAGTTCAGAAAAAGTACAGAAACATGCATCTGTTTGCATATAATCACACTCTCAGAGCTTTCTGCAATGACCTGCAAGGCTGCAACACAAACCATCTTCGATTAGTATAGTTGGGAACAACAGCTACATGCATAAAACTGCAGAATGAGATGACAAATGCAAGATGATTTTTGTAAGTTGATTAGCCTTCCAATGTAAAGAATTAAGTTCAGAAAAAGTACAGAAACATGCATCTGTTTACATATAATCACACTCTCAGAGCTTTCTGCAATGACCTGCAAGGCTGCAACACAAACCATCTTCGATTAGTATAGTTGGAAACAACAACTACATGCATAAAACTGCAGAATGAGATGACAAATGCAAGATGATTTTTCTAAGTTTAGGCAATTTGGGTATTTTAAAGGATGTTTTCGCAAATACGCAACGACGATCGGGCATTTATGTCATTTCAGTAGAATTAATTGTGAGTTTTGGCTCTATCTTTCCCACAGGTTGCCATCCCATATTAAAAGACTTCACGCCTGCTTGCATTTGAGGAATGAGAGAACATACTCAGTTTTCCTAACTTGCTTCCTTTTTCTTTGTAAGAAATACTGAAATTTATCATCTCAAGAATCATGAGAATTCAGCATCTCAGAGTTGTATGTGTGGTCTTCATGATCATGCTTATGATCAGTCAGATATCAAGTTATCGTCACATCCACAGAGTGACAGCTAAAGAATCCAAGCAAACAGATAAATCTGAATCCTATTCCAGGTTTTCAAGGCATTTCTCTACAGAATCTCCAGAGGGATCCAGCAGCAGAGATGAGATTGAATTTATCATCTCAAGAATCATGAGAATTCAGCATCTCAGAGTTGTATGTGTGGTCTTCATGATCATGCTTATGATCAGTCATATATCAAGTTATCGTCACATCCACAGAGTGACAGCTAAAGAATCCAAGCAAACAGATAAATCTGAATCCTATTCCAGGTTTTCATGGCATTTCTCTACAGAATCTCCAGAGGGATCCAGCAGCAGAGATGAGATCGGCCCCCGCAAAGGCGTTTCTCTACGAGAAGTTCCACAGGGACCAAACCCTCTTCACAACTGATCAGCCCTCTTGCAATTAAGTGTATTATTCAGTTAGACAAATACTTTCATCAGTTTCTAGTGTAAATCAAATATTTTTTTTTTGGTACTCATAGTCTAATAGATCCAGTTGGGAAAGAATGTGAGCAACTCTAGTCTATGAACAAAGTGTAAGTCTGTAAACAGTTTTTGATTGAATGGTAAAAAAATTTATTACACATGTTCTCAAGAGGGGCTGCATTTTGTGATGAATATATTAGTTGAAGAAATAGATAATATATTGATCTGAATAATCTTGATCTTTTCTTATTCTATCACTAAATAAATATTACAGTTCAAAGAAAAAAGTCAGAACCTACAAAGCAAGTTCTTGCAGAAAAGGTTTCCAAAGTACAAGAGATGACCAGCTAACTTACATCACAAACTAGAAATATGTGTGTACTTATAAAGCATCTGTAACGCTGTATATAACAAGTCAACATGCAAACACCATCTAATTAATTTTGTCCTAGGTGGTGGGGCACAGTTTTGGCTCTTGTAGAGTATAAAATAGTTGAAAATATTCATAATCTGTTTGCATATTTATGTGTTAGTTTGTTTTTCCATATGAGGTCAAACAATAGATTTGGAAGGATTCTTTGATGTAACTTCCATGTTAGAAGAAAACAAATGGGAAGGTAGAAAATTTTAAGTACATAGGCCAATGTAATGTATATAAAATTAGTTTCCTTTATTCTTCCTGAAAACACATAGAAGATTAACGTTACAAGCAACCCAACGCTGTGGAAGTTTGATTGATCAGAATGATACATATCCCTCACAAAGAATTTTCCTCTAAATGCAGGTGATGATTTGAAATCATACCAGAAATATTATAAATAAAATATACAGATCCTACTGTCTGGTAAACATTTTTTCCTCTTATGATCTCTAAGGATTGGACTGATTAGATTGCTTGAATTTTGAACAGAGGATTTTTCAAGATGGATTGAGTGCCCGTTCAGACAAGATAGACACAGCTTTCAACCAAATATATTTCTCTATTCATACATTATAAGATGTAGTACTCTTCATAGATTCCATGGTTTGGACAAATAGGGGAAACAAACCTCAAAGAATTTTCACTACATAATCTCACTTCCGACTGGATCAACTGAAAAATGAAGCGAAAGTGTTTTCCGAGTGATTTGATCAAACTTAGACTTCCATATCTGCAATTTTGTAAAATTTCCAAATGTTAATGAAATGTCGGTTGACTGCAATGGAGACAAATCCAAGAGCTATAATTCCAAAATGTGTCTGCACCTCAAATTAGGCAAGAATCAAACTCTATACTAGCTATAAAAGATTGGGAACACTTGAAAGTTTTCATCATGGACTCTAGATGTTTAGAACTACATTTTTTTCTTTTTCTTTTTTGGGTTTAGAGTAAGATTTGGATAAGCATGCATTCTATTTAGGTTCATGCCGAAGTTGATGGGAAAAGTAGGATCCAAATAGAAACAAACTACTCACTTCTTTGTACTCTGAGCTTCCCACAAATATCTCAAAACCGTCAACTACAAAATATACCAGTGAATGACAGTCAACAAAACAAAGGCAGCATGTATGTGAATCTACATAATGCAAACAAGAACTCACGAGACCGAAATCGGATCACTACTCCATGTGTATACTCCTTGCTGCTGGGATTAAAATTCAGACCTGAAAATCAAATACTAATAAGATATGATACATAATTATTTCGTACAACACATAGGATTTTCTACTATATCATCAGAATAAATATTGTACAAACAGAAACAAGAGCTAAGAGAAAATAAAATATGCTTTGTTTTGCAGTTAATCAGCTTGTAGCTCAAACAAACCTTGAGTAGATTGGACTATTATGGATGGAAATCCCATAATAAGCCCTTCCAAAGAAACTAATGCCTCTTCCACTCGTCCGGATGCATTATCAACAAAGGAAAGCAGAAGCACAAACTCCACACCGAAGTTGAATTCCTGCTTGCAAGAGAAATTAGCTTCCCTTTTGAGAAAGAACTTTTAGATCCAAAAAATCAGAAACATAAAGCACGTGGAAATGTCTAGAACCGAAAGAGTTTTAGAAAGTTAGATTGCAACCAAAGTGGTTCAGAAAACTTAGAACTTAAATGCCAATAAGCAAAGTCATGTATAGTTTCCAAAGCATTAAAATTCTTTTGAATGAGATATAAAGTATGTGAACTCCTGTGTACTAGACAAAGAATCTAGTATCTGAACTCGAAATAACTTTATTCAATCAATAAAACCAAATTGGGAAGGATGTTGCTTCCAACCTCTCCTTTTCGGAATATAGGTATGATATCATCTTCTACTTCAGATTCGTAATCCACATTAGTCAATCCCTGTTTATGTACATTAAATGTCAGACCAATAAGATGAAAAAAAATACTGAACTATTCAAAGGAAGGTTGATAAAGCAGAAACTTCTGAAATGGAAGCCTAAAGCACAGAGTGTCGGTGTTTACATGTCAGGGCATACATGGCAGTAAGGCAATACATGCTCATTGAGTACTCGCAAGTAGAAAGGGTTCTCGTAAAACTTCCCAATGTCTTCTTTTCTCTGGAAACGCATGTAGACAGCATGTGTATACTTGTCGATATTTTCATTGGAGATACGTCCTACAAATGTGATCGAACATATAAGGCCATGTTTTAATGAAAATCAGACAACAGAAAAACGATTAAACAGAAACAAGTATTTGAGTTTCAAAAGTTCGAGACAGAATTGTTTTGACTATTGATTTATACAAGTAAAGCTCACCTAATGATACTGCAAGAATGCCTCGCATTTCTCTACAGAATCTCCAGAGGGATCCAGCAGCAGAGATGAGATTGGCCCCCGCAAAGGCGTTTCTCTACGAGAAGTTCCACAGGGACCAAACCCTCTTCACAACTGATCAGCCCTCTTGCAATTAAGTGTATTATTCAGTTAGACAAATACTTTCATCAGTTTCTAGTGTAAATCAAATATTTTTTTTTTGGTACTCATAGTCTAATAGATCCAATTGGGAAAGAATGTGAGCAACTTTAGTCTATGAACAAAGTGTAAGTCTGTAAACAGTTTTTGATTGAATGGTAAAAAAATTTATTACACATGTTCTCAAGAGGGGCTGCATTTTGTGATGAATATCTTAGTTGAAGAAATAGATAATATACTGATCTAAATAATCTTGATCTTTTCTTATTCTATCACTAAATAAATATTACAGTTCAAAGAAAAAAGTCAGAACCTACAAAGCAAGTTCTTGCATAAAAGGTTTCCAAAGTACAAGAGATGACCAGCTAACTTACATCACAAACTAGAAGTATGTGTGTTATAAAGCATCTGTAACGCTGTATATAACAAGTCAACATGCAAACACCATCTAATTAATTTTGTCCTAGGTGGTGGGGCACAGTTTTGGCTCTTGTGGAGTATAAAATAGTTGAAAATATTCATAATCTGTTTGCATATTTATGTGTTAGTTTGTTTTTCCATATGAGGTCAAACAATAGATTTGGAAGGATTCTCTGATGTAACTTCCATGTTAGAAGAAAACAAATGGGAAGGTAGAAAATTTTAAGTACATAGGCCAATGTAATGTATATAAAATTAGTTTCCTTTATTCATCCTGAAAACACATAGAAGATTAACGTTACAAGCAACCCAGCGCTGTGGAAGTTTGACTGATCAGAATGATATAGATCCCTCACAAAGAATTTTCCTCTAAATGCAGGTGATGATTTGAAATCATACCAGAAATATTATAAATAAAATATACAGATCCTACTGTCTGGTAAACATTTTTTCCTCTTATGATCTCTAAGGATTGGACTGATTAGATTGCTTGAATTTTGAACAGAGGATTTTTCAAGATGGATTGAGTGCTCGTTCAGACAAGATAGACACAGTTTCCAACCAAATATATTGCTCTATTCATACATTATACGATTTAGTACTCTTCATAGATTCCGTGGTTTGGACAAATAGGGGAAACAAACCTCAAAGAATTTTCGCTACATAATCTCACTGCCGACTGGATCAACTGAAAAATGAAGCGAAAGTGTTTTCCGAGTCATTTGATCAAACTTAGACTTCCATATCTGCAATTTTGTAAAATTTCCAAATGTTAATGAAATGTCGGTTGACTGCAATGGAGACAAATCCAAGAGCTATAATTCCAAAATGTGTCTGCACCTCAAATTAGGCAAGAATCAAACTCTATACTAGCTATAAAAGATTGGGAACACTTGAAAGTTTTCATCATGGACTCTAGATGTTTAGAACTACATTTTTTTCTTTTTCTTTTTTGGGTTTAGAGTAAGATTTGGATAAGCATGCATTCTATTTAGGTTCATGCCGAAGTTGATGGGAAAAGTAGGATCCAAATAGAAACAAACTACTCACTTCTTTGTACTCTGAGCTTCCCACAAATATCTCAAAACCGTCAACTACAAAATATACCAGTGAATGACAGTCAACAAAACAAAGGCAGCATGTATGTGAATCTACATAATGCAAACAAGAACTCACGAGACCGAAATCGGATCACTACTCCATGTGTATACTCCTTGCTGCTGGGATTAAAATTCAGACCTGAAAATCAAATACTAATAAGATATGATACATAATTATTTCGTACAACACATAGGATTTTCTACTATATCATCAGAATAAATATTGTACAAACAGAAACAAGAGCTAAGAGAAAATAAAATATGCTTTGTTTTGCAGTTAATCAGCTTGTAGCTCAAACAAACCTTGAGTAGATTGGACTATTATGGATGGAAATCCCATAATAAGCCCTTCCAAAGAAACTAATGCCTCTTCCACTCGTCCGGATGCATTATCAACAAAGGAAAGCAGAAGCACAAACTCCACACCGAAGTTGAATTCCTGCTTGCAAGAGAAATTAGCTTCCCTTTTGAGAAAGAACTTTTAGATCCAAA